ACAAAGTGATGGTCAGAAGAAGAGGTACCACTGAGTAAATGAAATGTCTCAGAGACAGCTGCTTGAGTACTCACAAAAAGCCCCAGTTAAACCTTTTATAAAAGTTATGCCCTCTTGCCCTCTTCTGATGCCTCCTATGCAAATTCAAAATGATACTTTCAAATGCAGAGGGGGGCAAATGACACACAATTTTGAATGCAGTTGGGTGTTTAAGCCTTCTGTTAAAAACATCCAGCCACAAAAATGCCATTGTTTTTACAGTCCAAATCTAAATCTACATGCATTAAGTAAGGGAGTAAAGTTACTGTCAAAAGAATGTTCCCCGGCACTTCCCTGATTTCTCCCCAAGGTCTTTAAATTTACTGATGTTAAAAGAAAAACAAAGTACTACAGCAAAGCGTATGAACACAGCTCTATAAATAAAAACGAGAAGGGGGGGGGGGGAGCAAAAAAAAGCAAACATCTTCCATTTCTTGAATTGGCCTTAAATAGGCATTTGCTTACTCCATCACTGCTCTGTGTTCAAGGCATTAAAAGAAGACTGATACTACAAGTAGTCTTTCTGTTGCACTAAGCCCAATCTGTGTCTTCTGTCTAAGGCCTGGGAAATAAAATCAGAGAGATTAAGATCCGCTCTTTACCCTTGTACTGAAAAACCTTGCAAGCAAAGGGCAAAATTTTGCCAAGATAAACAAGAAAACTTGGCTTAATTTTGTGTCTGAGATATAAATACATTAAGAAGGGGGGAAAAATTAGTCATATATAAATAATAGCTCGATTACATTCAAGAATATGTGGGTGGGTGTTCTATGTGGAATAATTTGCTAAGGCAGAGCTCTTCTTCCTTGCTTTTCCTCTTCTTAATTTATTCTTCTTGCTTAGTAACTAACCAACTGAATACATACTTCTACTTTTTAACCTTTATTTATATCTTGGTCTTCATTCTGTAATCTGGGTAATCTTTCTATCATGGGTATTTTGATACTTTTCTTTAGGATTGGTTTGTTATGAACTAAAAATTTTTAATAGATATCAACACAGTGTAAAGCACTTAAGTGTATACCTAGCCTCAGGTGCACACGTCAATTTTCTTGACGTCAGGAGAACATGTATTTAAAATCAAAGCAATGCTTAACAGTTTTACTGTGCTAGTGTTAGTATGGCTGA